AAAAGAAAAAAGAGAAATACCTTTTCAAGCAACTGTTGGACAAAATGCATTGGGAATCTCAGCAGATTTTGTGTTGGGGGCCATTGAGTCAAATCAACTTAAAGCCAATTTCAAACTGTCAACGGATCACTCATCATCAATAGTCTGTCCATAGCTCAGCTGGAGACAGCTGAGTGCATTTGCAAGAGCTTTGCAGCTTTGCAGCTTAGTCCATTCGATTGTAACGCAAATGCAATAAAGGCCAACAGTTTGCACTCGCTTTGTTCGCTCGCTGGCAAACCCAACGAAATGAGGGGGCAAATATATATTTGTAAAGCAAACTCAATGGCAATGTCAAGGGAAATGAAAGAGTTTTGGAAATGAAAGAATTCGCTTATCTAGAATGATGCTAGGGTCATCTCTTTATAGAGGAGCTGCATAGGTAGGCAAAGCAACGGTTAGGCATCGACTGCTAACTATCTGGCTGCATTTGCATAACTCAATTTTTCACTTAACCAATTCACAGCGAGCGAGCGCAGCGACCGTCATTACAGTGAAGCAATGCTAATGGGAACTAGTACATCAGGCTTATGATGATGATAATGGTGGCCCCACATAACGGCGACCAAAGCGCCAACAGCATTCGCAATCGAAGCAAACTGAATTGCAGCGAGAACTTCAACTTCCAGAAGCACAGTTGGAAGGAGCAACAACAACATTCACAACAACAACAACAGCAACAGTCACAACAACAACAACAACAGCCCCAAGCTCAGCCACAGCGACAGCAACAGCGACAATTAGAGACCATTAGCCAAAGGCAGACCAATCAATCTATATTTAGACAGAAGCTGGCGCATTTTCAATTTGCCGATGTGGGCGTAGGCGTGGGCGTTGGCGTTGGCGTGGGCGTAGGCGTGGCCGTGGCCAATGGAGGCTGCAGGCGACTGCAGCTGTTGCTGCTGTTATTGATTTGCAATTGCATTGGTAAGTGGAATGGAGCATGTATCGAAGCATTGCGCAAAAATATCTCGCATGCTTGCTAATCGTTAATCGATAATTATCGTTCAGCAAACTATCGATAGTCCAGCCTTAATCAGAGCCACTGCTGCTTATCAAGCCAATCAACAAATGTTTTTTAAAATTGATTATTTATCGATTATTGAATCTTTAGTTTGTTAAGTTAAGTTGAATTGTATTTGATTTAATTTTTTTACTTTAATTAGGAATTTTTCAATATGTGTCGCCACTGAAATGATCGATATCTATCAGTTTTCATGGCAACAATATTTTTAAATCGAGTATATTCATGTATATCGATAGCTTGTTTATTTTTCATTTTGTTTAACTATTGTCAATACTTGGTTTTCCGCTCTATATAAATTACCGGATGTTATGCAGATATCGACATTTTTCAAAATAACTTGACTATCGATAGGTTGTCCATCGTTTGTGTAAGCACCAATTATCGATACACAAATGATATATTAGCTTTGCTTTTGCGCCATCGATAGCAAAATCCAAGAGAGCGGATATCGATATAGCGCTTGCCTGATGTTGATCGTTCTTTAAATCTTTTTCGACAACTTTCTCACTCAGCACACACAAATACATACGCGGAGCACACGCTGACACATACATATACATATATAAATACGTTAATTGTTCAATTAATGTTTCTCTCTTCATTGAAATGAAGATAATTCCGTTTCAAACAAAATCTCCTCAGTGGGCGCCTTCGAGCCGGACTTTGTCATACCGCTGGAGAACGTGACCATCGCCCAGGGCCGGGACGCGACCTTCACGTGTGTTGTCAACAATTTGGGCGGTCATCGGGTGAGTGGTGACGGTGCGTCAGTTCCAGCCAAGGTATGTATCGGTTTTAATATCCAAAGCGTTTTGAGTTATTAACCAGACAATAACAAGTCGTTTATCGTTTATCGTTTACCGTTTCATTTGCCCAGTACGTTTTTCCGTTCACGATTCGCACCAAAGTTTCACAGTTGAAAGTGCACAAAATCTTTTCAGTTTTCTCTCTCTCTTTTGGAATCAGTCTAACGAATAACGAAACTGCACAACAATCACAATAAAAATATATATATAAAGAGCACCCAAC